TTGGTTTAATTAAAAGAGAAATGAAGGAGAACAGTTCTACTTTTCCAATATTTTTAGAGGGCTTCTAAGGGTAACCATTTGGCATAACCTAGGGTCAAGGAGGCTCTGATACCAACTTGTCACGCCCGGAATTTCTATCCAAAATTCCAAACGCTTACATGTGTGTGAACCCTCGTCCAGGAATCAGCCGAGGCACACAATAACAAATTGATAATAAAGTACAATTATTACTCTAATTAATAAGAGAATAAAATGTCATTACAGAGGTAGATAGTTCCTCTCAATCAATAAAGATCTAAGCAGCGGAAAAAATAAGATAAACGGCACAGACGGCTCCACTCCACAGGCAGCTTGACCAGGGCTACACCTAATCCTCCACACCATCAGCATCATTGTAGAACTCTTCCTCTGATGAATGATTGCAAGGTGAGTATATGACATACTCAACAAGCCACGCAGCAAATATGCAAGTGCACAGGATAACAAAGGATGGCATAGTAGGGTTCCATTTGCAAAAGCAGCATTTAGCAAACATTTGAGAATTTAATGAAACAGTTAAGTAATAATTAAACAATATTAAACCAACGCTATACAACATACCCTGTTGTATAGGCCCAACCATTCTGAACAACCACACCCGGCTGTACAGATCTATCTCCAAACCAGGAATATACCATTCCAAACCAGGAGCTAAACAAATTATTACCAGTTATAGCATCTTTTACTAAGATGAGAGGTGTGAGACTAATCACGAAAGACATTGTTAGACCCGCCCATAACCGCGGGCACGGCTATTCGAATAGTTTTACTCTGATCAGAGGTGTACCACTGTACCCACAAGACACAACCCCACATCATGTCACCATGTGCCTCAATACCACCACGGTACCTCGGAAAGGAGTTGTGACAATACCCCTTGCATAACACAATCCACTGCAGCGCACCTTCCTGGATCATAATCACCCCCTTATAAACAAGGCATGGACTCCCCAGCGACCCCCGTGGGCTTATCTCCGCCACTTCTCAGTCTGGTGCCCCGCAATGAACCATGCTATACAAAAGATAAAGCCGTTGCCCACGCTGGCTTGTGGTTGGCACGGTTAATGTTTCACAACCGAAACTCGTGAACCGGTCCTTAATTGTCATGAGCACGACTCTCAAAACCATGTGCTCACAACCCACCATTATCAGGTTTTAGTTGGCACATTAATTAATTAACCAATCACGATTGACCATCGTGAACTATCATTAAGCCATCATTAAATAATTAATAGTGAATCATAAGTTATCCCAATAGTGTGCTAATGTTTCTAAGCATGGCTAAGCAATCACACCTAATATCTAGCTGAATCAATATATAGAGCTCAACTAGTCAAGTTATAATAACCCAAGGTATCAAGGAATAAAGTAATCAAGAACAAAAGGGCTATAACAAACAATAGGTTAATTCCACCCAATGACATTCGAAAATAAATGCAATAGTTGAATAGAAACAATAGCTTTAAATAGGATCAACATGCTCAAAGGGTTGTTTGGGATCTGTGTGACTTGCCTTGCTGGCCTTGGAACTCTTCAAACTCTTCTCCGGCGAAAACGGACTCTCCGGAAACGACGGAATCTAAGCAGAAAAGAGCAAAATCACCGAAACAGCACATAAACAAGCATGAACAGTACATGTGGATATTTTTAACATGTAGATCTCAATTTTAGAAAAATTTAGAGACTTGAACCAACTAAATCCGAGCTAAGATGAATTAGTTATGAATTTTTGAAGATTAAATCGGATTAAAACACTTAAATTGATTTTAATTGAATTATGACGCAATAATGAATTATTTTTGAAAATGAAAAAGGGATTTATTGCGTCAGTGGGCTAGGGTTTCGGTGGACCGGGCGCACGGCGGCGGTTCACGCGAACGGACGGCCGAGATCGACTTGATCCAAAACGGACGGCCGAGATCGATCGGTCCACGACCGGCTCACGGGAGAGGGGACGATGACGTCGGCGATGACGTCACCACCGGCGGCGGCGGCTCGGCGGCTCGGGCGCACATGCTCGCCGGCGAACGACGGCACGGCGGCGCGAACGGAAGGCACCAACGGGTAGCGGACGGCACGGCGAACTCACCGGCGACCAAAGCGACGGCGGAAGAGGAACGGACGGCGACGGCGACGAGGAAGAAGCGGCGGCGCTCTTCGGGTTGACGGCGGCGACGGTGCTCCGGCGGTCTTCGGCGGCGACGAAGAGGCGGACGAGGACGGCGACGACTTGGCGACCACGACGACGGTCTTCCCGAGCGACGGCGACGTCTGGAACGGCGGCGGCGCACGGCTGGAGCGACGGCGGCGACGGCGGCGCTAGGTCTCACGGCGCTAGAGCTCTACAGACGACGAGAGGCGAAGGCGAGGGTGGCGGCGGGTAGAGGAGAGCTCGGGGGTCCTTTTAAAGGGGCTAGGAGGCAACGGCGAAGGCCCACGGCGGCCGGCGACGAGATGGAAAGCTCGAGCTCGGAGAGAGAAAAGCCGATCCGATTCGAACTCGAATCCATCGATTTCCAAACGATTTTAGCCGGTGTTTCCAAAGGAGAAAAGGTAGAGGAGATCCCGAAGATCATTTCCCCTCTATCAATTCGGCCGGAAACGGAAAGGATCGGCCGAATTGGAAAGCGGCGGCGGCGGCGCGGCGCTAGGGTTTCGGGCGGCGGCGGCCGGAGGTTGACGACGACCCTGACAGGTGGGCCCCACCTGTCAGCGGGCGGACGCGCGCGCGCGCGGCGGCGGACTGGGCCGACTTGGGCCGAGGAGAGAGAGAAGGGTTTTGGGCCGACTTTCTGCCCAAAGCCAAAAGAGGACTTTTTAAAACCTTTTTCAATTTAAATTATTTCTTAAATGCAATTTCATTTATTAAAAATACTTTCTTAGCTCAAATAAATCCCAGAAAAATCTAGGAATTAAAGGATTAAGCAAAGTATTTAATGAAATTTTATCTGGCCCCATTTTATATTGGAATTTATTAATTAAAATTAGATCTTCTCTTCTAGGCTTTTAAAATAAATTCTAAAAAAATTCCATTTAAACAACAATTTATATATTTAGGATTTTTAGGGTGTGACACCACCCTTGGTCAACACCAATTGCCTCTTATCACCCCCATGCCACCTCCACCCCCTGCCCCACACACTGCTATATTCCTAGTGGCCTCTGGCCGCCTCCACCTTGCTGATGGCTATTGTTAGCTCGCTACCGCTGCCTGTGTCTGCATCGTCGTTGGGCTCGCCGCGTTCACCATTTCTTGTTTCAAACCACTCTCCCCCATGTAGATCTAGGGCGTGTTTCATGGAGTTGTCGTGTTCACCATTTCTTGTCGCAAACCACTGGTCCGGTCCGAGAGCCCTCACCGGCTTGGTTCGATAAAAGGACCGCCTATGCAATCTAACCGGTAAAAACCGAACCAACGGATTTTTCCTACTAAATTGCTGATGAAAAACTGCGCTTAGGTTCCGTTCTTTTTTCCAACAAGAGTTGGATGAAGATTAAAATTTTCGTGGCATGCTTTTCAAACTACTAAGTTTGTATTGAACCAGTGGTCTAACCGGTTGAACCAATTAAACCATGAACTAACACTTCGTTGGTTAAATATCAGGTCATGGTTTTTTTAGAAAAACCCTACATATCATGGTTGACCATCAAGTCAATATATTCGAGGTTGCCTTACAATAATACAAGGCTAAGATAACTATTCATTGAAGAATCCGATCCATAAAAGTGTTCACAAGCAATCAATGGTTAAAAACATGTAAAAGTGGCCCAACTACAAATCACGTGCACAACCCCGGCCCTCAACTGGAGATCGATGATGGGGACATCGGTAAATATTTCCACGGTCAAATTCAACATTCCATCCAGAGTGACCAAAACAAACTCACCGTCTCTCTCGATCTCACTCTCACAGGTAGGATACAACCTCAGAATACCTGTAATTTTCCCTCATTTTTGTTCCGACGGAAAGATGTCTGTCTGTAAATTTTTTTTCCGCTATGAGAGAGTTCCCCTGTAATTTTGCAGTACATTTTTATTTTTATCAAAGAAGATAAAATATATTTTGATCGATAATCTGTTCAAAGCAACCTAATTAAAACTCGCACATTTTAGCGTTATGCATGCAGTGATAGAGCCAGAGAGAATTATTTCAAAACCCGATCGAGCAAACTCAACAAAACCTAATATTTGCTACATGATTTCTATCTTCTTTCATACCCTTTCAACAACCAAACTTTCAATGGAGTATTCAACGGCGAGTCTGGGGCTCCGCTCCTGTATGCAAGTTTAGATGTACTTTACGTTTGTCGTAAAATATAAAAAGCTAGTATTGAATGAGACACATTCTTTTACTATGAATTTAGACAAAATACTAGGATGTGTCCAATCTAATACTAACTAGGTTGATATATTATGAGAGGAATGAAGTATCATCCAACGTAACTAAATGATGGTTATGTTGAAAGTAAATACAAATGGACCACAAGCATACGACTTTAAATAACTAACTAACCATAGTGAATTTTTCTAGCACACTTTTGCAAGGAAAAAAAGGGAGACAAGTGGGACAAACTAAATAATGAGTAGATGCTGCTGTTGAAATTAAGCAGCTCGCGGTCAGTCCACAAGTGGAATAAGATGACACGCAGCAGGAAGGAGCAGAGCAGCGCCCCTAGCTCCCTCGCTATCCAATATCGTTGGCGTCCCAAGCGTGAAGAAAGATATCTCGATCGATAGCTATTGCGCACGAGCGCTTGACCGCACCGCACCCATCCGCTGACCGCTCCCCCGTACTCATCCCCCCCTACTACCTTTGACCGGTCAACCCCTCCGTCATACAGTCACTGACGGTGGGGCCCACCGGGCTCTGGTCCCACGTGTCGGTGGGTGGAGGGGGCTTGTGTTCGCCGGCGAGTGGTCGTGGGCGGCTAAACCTATATAAGCCACGGCCGAACTCGTGGCCGTTCCTCAGCAACAGCGAAGGTCATCTAAACCAGCACGTCGGCGACGGCGGCGGCGCAAGAACGAGTCGTACGTGTGCTTCGCCGGCAATGGAGGTCCACGGCGCGGCGAGCAGGGAGCAGCAGCAGCACGACGGCGGCGGCGGCGGGGTGAAGGTGAAGTTCATCGAGACGCAGTTCGTCAGCTCCGACGCGGCCAGCTTCAAGGCCGTCGTGCAGCGGCTCACGGGCCAGTCCGCGCCCTCGCCTTCGGCGCCGGCGACCTCGGCGAGGCCGAGCAGGCCGCGCGCGCGCGCCGCGGTCACGGCTTGCCCGGCGGCCGCCGTGGGGTGGGCGGGCGGCTACGGCGGCGGCAGCGGCCTGATGACGATGGCCGCGCCGGTGAAGCAGGAGGCGGCGGCGCCGCCTCCCAACCTTGAGGATCTCCACGAGCTCCGCGACTTCTCCGACCTGTTCTACCCGACCAGCGCCGGCGGCGGCGGGCGGCGCGTCGACGGCGGTGGCTACGGCTACCCGTACTACTGATCGAGTCGTGCTGGCGCGTACAGCGCATCTTTGATTTTCTCTTTTCTTTTTTGTTGGTTTTAGCAGTCGTGCCGTGATTGCCAGTCGCCATTGTTGTGCCGATCAACCTGGACGGAGCTCCTCTGATGTAGAGTCAGAAGGAGGTGGGTCACTGACCGGTGGGGCTCACCTTCATAGGCCCATACGTCATTGACCATGTTCCTCTAACTTTACGTCAGAGGAGCCTCTTCTGATCAACATTAGGATGTCTGCTGGAATACTAGTATATGTATATCATAGGCTATAACTACGTGATCTGTTCATCTCTACATCTCAAACACATTGCGTGTTCTTCAAACTTCACAGAAATGGAGAATGGATGATACAGAAACTGATTTTACTCATACATATTTGCAACTGTCGAATTCGATCTAATTGACTCGACCGATGGCCATGGAGATGTATGCACATCCTAAATAATTTCATAATTTACTCTCTCTCTCTCTCTCATTGATTGATTGATTTTTTTTAGGACCGACTATTTGCCATTGCACATAAATCATCTTAAAAATTTCGTGAATTCTAAACCATTATATTGCTTTGAGATTCTTACGGTACCTCCTAACCCCTCCTGACTCCTAGCTTGATGCCCCTACTACCACTACCGTAAGTGTTGCCCAACCTTGCCAGCGAGGCTAAGGCAATAACATCAGTGAGAGGCCCCTAGCTGACCTCCTCCCCCTCCGCTCTCTCGCCCTCTTCCTCTCCTCAAGTTGGTAATGACGAGGTGCTCTTGCCATGCTGTCTTTCTCATATCCAGTGGCTCTTCGCCTCTTCGCCACTAGTAGAGGTAGAGCCACTTGTGGAACAGCTTGGGCTTAAGCCCCACACATGGCAAAGAATTTCAATGGATATAGACCAAATTTTAGATAGAATTTCAGTAAAAAGAAATTAAAACAGCATGGTTCAACCCTTCTCTTGGTGAAATATTTCCTCCGCCCCTGGTTGCTGGAGACACTACCACTCCCCCGGCTCATATCCATTCACTCCGCTTTGTGCCTGTCGCCAACACTAGGCCACAACCCATTGTTGACCCTGTGGCTTTGGTGGAGCTGTTGCCCATTATCGTTCTTGCCACCTGCCATGTCCATTCTTCTTAGCCTCGGGAATTACCCCCTCTTCTCCATCCCACCACTCCGTCCCACTCTCAACCCCACTTCCAACGCTAAACCCTAAATAGTTAATAGGTCACCGTCGATTGTTGGAATTCGTCAGGATCACTAGAGTTGGAGTCTTAGCACAAATAGCGTAGCATATCATAAGGAACCCTGCTATACGTACATTCAAGCCATCCGTCTTGTATCCAACCATGTCATATATACTAATCACTGAACTTGTTTCTTATCATATGGACCCAAACAAGCAGCATCTATACCTATATATACACTAGTCGGATGTAAGTTGTACATATGAGTCGGACGCATAGCAATTTCCTATCATAAGGTCATATCTTTGCAAGATTTTGGCTCCAGATTACTGTCGAATGTTATTAGTAATTCCTTTTCTTTATGTGCGTGCCACATCAAAGTCATGGCAAAAAGAAGAAAAAAAGCAAATGTTGTAGCAAATTTTAACCGAAGGGATTTTTCTGTAAATAATACCGTAAGTTATTTGTAAATAAATCAAAACAAACTAGACAGAAGTTTTGAAACTTCTTGTCTATATTTTCATGATTTGTAACACGGTGATGCCGGATAGAAATAATAATGCTTCTAATTGCATTAATAGCATGCAACACCAACTTTTCCCTGCATTGAGAAAGGTAAAATGCATTCCTAAAAACAAAGGCAAAGGTAAATGATCCATCTGATTACTTATTCTGTTGCAGTAAGTTTACGATCATGTAGGCACCTTAGACCATGATGGTAGTTTCACATGCTGATAATATGCATCAGTTCCTAGTGTACCTGGATGTCACTTCCAAGTCCATGCAGCCCTTGAGTAATACAGTACTCCAAGTCCATGCAGTCCTTAGTAATACAGTACTGAAAATGCCAATCCAGGGCTGTATTCAAGATCTAAGACAGATCAAAATTCAAACGTTTCTCTGCTGTCCAAGTCAGATGCGTGGCTATAATTATTTGTCATATCTAGACTAGAAACCAGAAGCAAGGCTCACAAAAGAGTACAACTCAGGATTTCAAATTCCAAGCTAACACCTCAACAACACAGGTGCACAGAAATGTTAACTCTATTGTCTGAATTTCAACCTGTACACAAGCAAGCCAGATAGAACAGTGAAGCCTAGTATCACACCCCAGTGATTAAATACTACACTTTCCTTTTCAATAATCAGTTCTTCCCTATTCACTTCATCTCTGCTTGGTTCACATCGTTGTTCACGGCATTGCTGCAGTATCCATCTTGTGATCGTTCTCTCGTGAACAACAAGCTGTTCCAAACAATCTGGGGAGCTCAGTTCACATTTACTGCTGCTGCTAATTGTCAGAACCAGTAATGTCTTTGCTACACTGCCAGAAGCCCGGAGTGCACATAGTAGATCAGACCACACCTCCAGACGGCCACACCTATTGCCAAACTCTGCACCTTCTGGAACTACAACCACTGCAAATTCCGAGTGGACGAGCGCTGGATGGTGACGGTAAGCTACAAAATCCGCACCATACTGCAGCCCTGATCTCACCACCCAGTTCTTCAATCTCAGATGTGCGTAAGCCTTGTACATCTCCGGAAATGACTCCGATCCAGACCTAAAGTAATCCCACAGTTCAATTTCACTCATTTGCTTATTGTCCAGTGAGTCAACCCTGATGCAATTCAGAGCATGGCATAGGTAAAAGACCTCCTCGGGGCTGAGTTGGAACCAATGCTTCTGTGCTGTTGCATTTTCGATGGCATGGCCAAAGGCAGCACGGTTTAGGATCACGGCTTGCTCTGGCCCAACTCCAAGAACGGCGCTACCACCCGGACCAGACAAAATTGCCACGGGCTTTGAGCTTATGAATGAGGCCTTGAGCTCAGAAACAATGGCTGACATGGGGTTAGCTGCTGCTAGGGACGCAAAGTCCTTGCCATCTTTGCCCTTCTTCCATCTTGGACCTGGCAAATCCATATGCTGAACCCAGTGGCAGAGCAGGGACTAGTGGCCAAGTGCTGGAGTGAATAGCAAAAACAAGTAAAATAAACATCGTTGTCCAAACAAATGAATATTAATAACATAGATCACCAATTTATAGAACATATTATTTGTAGAACATAGATATATCAATAATCTTTGGAACATAATATGCATCAATGCGCGTTAACAGAACTAAATCGGAAATTAACAAATCACTTTAACATAATCATTGATAATCAAATCACATGAAAATAGAATTTGTCGAATCGGCCTAAAAATTTCACAATACCATACCCTACGTCCCTACCTCACGGACCACGGTCAGTGTCAGAGCCCTAGCTGCAAACCAACGAGGAGAATCCATCTTCAGAGATCACTAAATCAGAAACGGAAAAAAGAAAAAAAAGATCACTAAATCAGAGCTCCTCTGCTCGCAGCTCGCTTGCAGTACTCGACCCCCCCCCCCCCCCGCGCACCTCGCCTTAATGCCTCCCCGCCCGCGCCGCAGGCCGCCGCCTCCACGCACCTCCGCGGGCAGCCGGCTCTCCCACGGCATCGATCCGCCTGTGTAAATAGGAAAGGAGGGGCAAGGGTGTAGGGGGGCAGCGGCGGCGTACCCGACGGAGGGATTGGGTCGACGAAGAGGAGGCGCGTCAAGCGGCGGGGGAGGGGGTACACGGCGGCGGCGGCGGCGGCGGTGGAAGTGAGGGCGGTGAGTTCCAGAGAGAGCAGAGGAAGCGGGATGAATGCTGAGGTGGGCTGGGCTTTGGGTTCTTCGTGCAGGTAAGAGCCTCGTTTCGCTTCGATGGGCCGGAATGGGCCCAATTCAAATAAACCCGTCATGGACTGGAAGCGGGTGAGAATTTTTCAAGTTTCTGGTGTTCTTTTCTCTCTATCTTTTTTCCAATGAGAAATTTCTTATCTAATGTCGCTACAACTTACAAAACCTCCCATCAAAAAAAGAATACTTACAAAATGATTAATTCGAATGTTATAGTTGTAATCACTAGCATCTATTCGAATGTTATAGTTGTACATGAATACCTCATAAATAGCACTCTACATATATACATGGATATTTCATAGTCCCTTGCTCCTCGAAAAAACCTTCACTACTTATTAACACGTCGAACCAGGATGACTTTAAGACATAACTGGCGCTGCATTGGCTCCTATGATTATGATGTTGTTGACATGCACTTGTGATCATTGGCGCTTCAGCTTCGGACACTGTCTTGCAAAATAACCTGGCTCAAAACAGTTAAAGCACAACAACTGCTTCTCTCCATTATTATCACTCTCTTGAGACTGATCCTGCTAAATCAACGTCGGTTGAGGACCTTCAATAACATTTTTGACATCGTTGCCCCCACTATTGTTATTATGAATGGTGGTGTTATAATATGTTGTAAGATAGAGAAGATGATCCATCAATATGAAGTAGCTTGACACGCAGCCTCTGGTTGCTACCTCGTGCTTCCTTGAAAGCAACCATTCTCCTCTTTGTGATTGTCCATCCTGTTTTGCTTATCTTCCTACCGAATTGCTTTGTCCACTAACATATGAAAATCAGCATATTCAACAGCATAGTCTCACCAGAGATCAATTTAATTGAAAACTCATTATTTAGTCCCTCTAGGAACTTCTCTTGTCTTTCCTCATCAGTATAAGCAGGTTCTTAGAGCATAACGTGCACGACGATTGAACTTGGTAAGAAACTTTGTCACGGTATGCTCCCTTTGATTGAGTGCACAGAACTCACACTTCTTCAATATATCTATTCATGGTGGTCTATGGGCCTTCTTGAATCCTTTAGAGAACTTAGCCCAAGCAATTGGTTGTCCATCAGCCTTGTTGATGCGGAAATGATCCGACCATTTAGAAGAGTCCATGCAGCTGGTAGATCCAACTTCTTAATTGCATACAGCCAATCACTTGCCTCTACTAGGCTAGTGGTATCAAAGAAGGTCAATAATCTCACACAAAGAAACTCTGCAAGCAAAGGTCATTTTTTTATGGAGAAATTTCTTCTCGGAGCTTGGCATAAATAGAAGCAAAGAGACGGTTTTATCTTTGATAATAAGCTACCTTCCTTGTGTTCTTGGAGGCAGCTCCTTAAGGGTGAACTCCTTCTTTTGTTATTTAGGTTGAATAAGAGAGATAAAGATGTAGTTATTAGTTGGATTCAGTTGTTATAAGACTTAAAAATATGAAAACTATATATTTAGATTAGTTTTAAAAAGTACTTCAATAAAATAATATATTTGTTAATATTTCTATATATATTATAATAGAAATAGTTGTCAAAGTTTTAAAGACGGTGCCCTTATAAAAAACAATAGGTATTATTAATCCGGAGGAGGTAGTACATCACTACATCCTAGCGGTAAGCATGCACCTTTCACACTAGCGGCCTAATTAACGAAGGTTGACTAACTATTGAGTGACGGCAATGGGCGAAAAAAATGAACAGTCCAACTGGCCGGTATAATGTTGTGGAACTGAAATTTATCAGTGGTATCTGGTATAATTAGTGGATTAATGTTTTGTAGTATATACATAAAAGGAAATATAAAGTGCGGTGTGGTTTGACCCCCAGAGAAACAAATAAACATAAGGCAAACCAGCTTGGTCCCCTCATAAGAAAACAACACATTTTCTCTCTACTGCACTACTACTCTTTCTCAAAAAGCCACGCATGTATACATGGAACACATGACAAGATGTTAATTATCAAAGACCTAATCGACCATCGAATCATCTATCAATCGATCTCGATCCATCGATCTCTCTGGTAGTCTGGTAGTAGCAGCATGTAAAGCTAGCAAAACACAAAGCTGGATGGGAAAAAAAAAACGAAATCCACCACACTAAGTCTCCTCTCCTCTCCCATCGTCGTCGTCGTCACCGGATATGCAACCCAACAACTCGATCGACCGATCATAGCGCCGCTAGCTGATGACTCACCTCCACGTAGAAAAGCCTCTGGAAACCACCATTACCCTCGATCGCCAACGTTGCTGAAACTAATCCCTCCGTCAAATTCAAAATACTCTAAATTTAACTAATTTTTATAGAAAAAAGTAGTAATATTTTATCCCAAGATGAATATATTATAAAATTTTATTCAATTATAGATTTAATGAAACTATGTTGGTGTTGTAAATATTACTACTCCCTCCGTTTCAAAATATTTAACACCGTTGACTTTTTAGGACGTGTTTGACCATTCGTCTTATTAAAAAATTTAAGTAATTATTAATTATTTTTCTATCATTTGATTCATTGTTAAATATACTTTTATGTACATATATAGTTTTACATATTTTAAATTTTTTTAATAAGACGAACGGTCAAATATGTGCTAAAAAGTCAACGACGTTAAACATTTTAAAACGGAGGGAGTATTTTTTTTACAGAGTTAGTCAAACTTAGAGTAGTTTGACTTTGACCAAAGTCAAAATGTCTGATAACCTGAAGCGGAGGGAGTAGTAAATTAAGAATTACTATACTCTACAGGGATATATATAGCCACTCTCGATCGATCGAGTAGCTGCACGCAAATATGCTGATGAGATATCACCAAGAAAAAAAAGAATAGAAGCTTGGGATGCATGGGATAAGCAGATCGATCGCAAGGGGATGTAAGAACAGAAAAGCAAAAGGAAAGTAAGTAGGATCCTATGGAGTATCCGATGGAAGTCGACAGGTCGATGGATCGATGCATGTAAAGATTGATTGAAAGAGGAGGGAGACACCCTGATCACAGCATGCAGGATGCCGGCCGGTGTACAGTTGCAAGCAGAAAGGTAGTAGCTATTTGCAAAGATAGATATAGGAGAGAATGCATGCTCTGGCCCATGCCATTGCAAAGCATTTGCATATGCAAAATTGCATATATATTCATGCATGTTACTGAACCCTAGCTAATTAATAAAGTTGATGCATATGCAGCAGAGATCGATGGATGCAGGCAGGCAGGGACAGGGGCCCAACAGTACCGGCTAATGCATGGCTGACATGGATGGATGGATCGTCGTCTCGACCGGCTGCCGTTCTGGAGACGGCGACGGCACGGCCGAAAGATTCGACCAGATTTTCCGGCACGAGGCAGCTGATTACTGTTAGCTGTTTCCTCTGTCCAATATATTGTATTCTATGTTATTGTACTATATATGTTAAACTTCTCTAGTTTTTATCTGGTCTATAGAAAACCCCACCAAAATATACAGCATCAAATTAGTCTTATTAAATTCACCATATCTTCGTAGTAATGGCATAGCCAAAAAGAATTTTAAAGACTAGGAGCTTAGGTTAGGCACAACTAATAGAGTGTTGGTTTTCCACAAAATCTATATGGCGACTTCACAATTTAAACCCTGCTTCATATGATTTTTTTTAAGGGAATCACTGGATATCTATTGTTGTCGTAGATATTGGTGTAATTTTTCTTTACAAACTCAGCTGAAGTTAGAGACTTTTCTTTCGAAATAGAATACATACTCAAGCGTTCATATAAATGCACGCATAAGATTACGCCCGCTGTAAATGAATCTGGATATACATATGTCAGATTCAAACCAAGAATTGGGTGTTTTTATTTTTTTGGGATGGTGGGAGTATACTTGTTGGCTGATCAGCCTTTGGAGGCATGTGTCCAGATTTAGACCTAGTATTGGGTTCTTTTTTGAGAGGGAGGGAGTATATATCTTGTGATAAGGTTAGAGATGTTTTAGCTTAGAGTAAAACTAAAAAGTCATACATACGGAACGGTGGAAGTAGCTAGGTTGGCCGACCATGAAAAGGAATTGGCTAATTAGCTGGGAGGAAAAAGAAAGCTAGCTGATCAGATAATGGACCGGGGATCGCCGTCGGAGGAGACAGTTCATGTTCGTGTGTGCATGTATGCTTTTTCTGCCGGTCGACATCTGCATGATCTGACGACGCTCTGGCTAGCTTAGCTTCTATGGTTTATCCGTTGTACCGGCGATCGCTTTCTTGCCTAATCTTTGGGTATGGACACACATGCAAGATATGTGTCCTCTGATCCTCTTCTCTTTCTCGCCTTTTGGTGATAGCTAGGTACCGGGTCGACAGTAGTTAGAAGTGACTCGAATTCTGACCAAACTAAAGGCGACATATACCGACTACAGTACTACTGAAGCACTATGCATTGTGCCTAAGTTTGCTGTGTCCCCGATTTGACTACTCTTGCATATTGCCAAGAAGATGAAACATAGGCTGTGTTTAGTCCAGCGCAAAGTTTGGATTTTGATTGAAATTGAAGATGATGTACGTGACTGAAAAGTTGTGTGTGCATGACAGGTTGATGTGATGGAAAATGACTGAAGTTTGGATCCAAACTTTAGATCTAAACACAGCCATAATGAAAAATAATAGTAGGTTGAACTAATTAATTAAAGGGTACAAACATATTTTCCCTGACAACATTGTTGGCATACATGATCGATCACATTGTCATCGCAAAAGTTAATAACAGATTCACTTCAAACACGGATTGAGAATGTTATATGTGTAACAAAAAAAAAAACGGTCGCTCTCTGTTTCTCTCCTATCCTCCCTTGTGTCACTCTGCTCTCTCCTCTACTGGTTGCAGGTTTGTCTCCTTATGTGGGATGCAAGGGAGAAATGACAAGGTAAGTTATATATAATACCAAAGCCTCCAAAATCCTCGTCAGCCTATCTCACCAGTCTATGTCCACGTAGATATAGTAGTTCGCTTACTCTTTACGCCGTGCTGCT